CGGGCCAGGCGCCGGATGGCGGGCTTGGTGATGCCCTGGATGTTGTCGCGCAGCACCTTGCGGTGGCGCTTGGCGCCGCCCTTGCCGAGCCCCTTGCCGCCTTTGCCGCGTCCAGACATAGCTCTGTTGGTAGCAAATTAAAAGTAGGAAACAGGGTTGAGCCGTTCCTTATATAACTACCTCTCTCCCTTAACCACTCCTCCCACAGAAATAAAATGAAGGCTGCAGGCAGGAAATGTGACGCCAACAGCCGCCTCCCTTAATCCCTCCTCCAAATCCAGGAACTGGAGGGGAGGGGGGGGGCGTATGTGCCGGAGCCCAGATTGCAGGAGCATTGGTTTTTGCCTTCTCAACTACTTTGTAAACATGGGCCAAATTCACGTTATGGTTACCAAAACATTTTAAGGAGAAAATACTTTAAAAGGCTGATTCTTTAACAGTAAAATTTGGAAATCGGAAAACACCCAAGATTAAATTTAGTAATGAAACGAGCAGTTAATAGTTCATGAGAAACCAGGTTTTAAGGGCTTTTGTTGTATCCGTTTTGCTTTCATAAAGCTGTAAATACACTTCCTGTTCACCTGCCTTAAGCGATGCTACACAGGCCCTACCCTTTGAAATGCCTTCTTTAGTGTTCCTCTTTAAAGACTTACGTGGCCAGTACCATTTGTTTGTGAGACCACAGCTTGTTCCTCTAAGCAAGTGGCTTACAGAACCCATCACACGGTAAAATGTTTATGCATAACCTTTAATTTCCAAGCTCATGACTAATTATATTAGACGAGTAGCTAGAAAATATATTTACAGCCACTTCGAGTAAAAACGTGGGTGGCTCTAAAAAGAGCCTTGGGGACAAATGGGTGACCATGAGGCTCAGGCCCTCTCTCCGCGGATGCGGCGCGCCAGCTGGATGTCCTTGGGCATGATGGTGACACGCTTGGCGTGGATGGCGCACAGGTTGGTGTCCTCGAACAGCCCCACCAGGTACGCCTCGCACGCCTCCTGCAGCGCCATCACGGCCGAGCTCTGGAAGCGCAGGTCCGTCTTGAAGTCCTGCGCGATCTCGCGCACCAGCCTCTGGAACGGCAGCTTGCGGATCAGCAGCTCCGTGGACTTCTGGTAGCGCCGGATCTCGCGCAGCGCCACGGTGCCGGGCCGGTAGCGGTGCGGCTTCTTCACGCCGCCGGTGGCCGGCGCGCTCTTGCGGGCCGCCTTGGTGGCTAGCTGCTTGCGCGGGGCCTTCCCGCCGGTGGACTTGCGCGCCGTCTGCTTCGTACGAGCCATGACAAGTAAAACCTAAAAAAAATATATATGAAGTATTTAAGCAATTTTAAGCTTAGCTGAATCCCTACAAGTATTTATAGGACGTAGGGTGTAATGATTGGATTAAACAAATGCTTAGGTATTACGCTCCAGGTTCGGATTGGTGAATCTATACACTTGCCAAGAACCGTGCAGTTTCATTGACTACTATGGTCTGTTTTGCTCCTCAGGTTTCACTTTTGTTTTCTTACCCCATCCGATTTTCATAATCTGAATGCAATAATTTGAGCATTAGATATTCATAAAACTAAAACCATTGGATTAATTGGTACTGTAGCTTTTCAATTCTGTGTATCTCCTTAGTTCCTGGGAAAAAATGGAATTACCCCCCAATGTACACTACCTGCTCCATAATCCAATATTGGGGGACAAGTTTCTGAAACATTTTATGAAAAGAACGCTTTGCATTGCTAAAATTTACTGAAGTTTGTCAAGACCATCTCCAGGAGACTAAAAAAACAGTAGTGTTTACAGGAATATTCCCTGTAACCAGGAGCCTTTTGGTTAAATGTTTAGCTGAGTTGTAAACTTGGAGATTTCTGAAACTTATGCTTCCTAAAGCCTTGAGTATCTTTTCCCAGATGCAAAAAGGCTGAGACTGTCAAGTTCTCCAGCCTGCAGGCAGGTACACAGCACGCTGGTCCAGTAACTGGGTTCTGGACTACAAGGAGGGCACCTTACCATAAACAAGACTTCATCTTACATTTCAAGCGTAAAAGCTTCGAATAATGTGGTTCTTTTATATTACGATAAAGTATCGGAGATTCAACGTTTTGACTGGTTAACTTCATTATATCAAGCAGCCATTAAGAAAGCAAATCTAGAATTCTTCATTTGCATACTGGAAAGCTGCTTAACTCAAAGGACAAACAGGAAGCAAATCCCATTTCAATAAACGTTTTGAATACAGTGTTTTCGCCTTAATAGCTGCGTTTGTTTAGTTGCCTTCAATATTCTAAAGACGGCTTGTCAACTCTTTTACAAAATATTTAAACAGGAAACCTCTCAGTCTTGGAGGAAGATTGTATACCTGTTGATATAGCTGGCTATCCTTCAAACTAAGCCACCAAGTCTCAATTTTCCTCTTTCCAGTTTTTAGAAATTAACGTGATGCATTTTGAATATAGACTCAAGAAAATGGAAGGCAGGACAAAGCAGATGGAGGCAATGTGTCTGGGACCATGACACTCCTGGCTGCCACGTGGAAAGCAGCTGCTGCGTTACTAGGGAATCTGCGGACGTGCCGCTTAGCAGGCCATACGGACTTGTTTGGGAACCTCAGCCCTGCGCGCTGAGAACCAGATGGTAGGGCCTGGCTCTGCCGCCAGGGTGCGAGTGGAGAGAGAGAGCATGCTACCCTGACATTGGTATTGTTAGTCTTGCAGCCACAAACGGGGTAAGGGAGATTGTCCTGTTTTCTCTGGCTTTGATACTTAAGGCCGCCTGCACTCCTGCACAATGCCCGTTGGGGAAACGTGCAGTCCTCAGCAGCTTCGTTAACGCCTCCGGGATTCTAGGGTTTGAACTTAGTAAATGTGTCCCAATGGATATGCGCACAGGGAACCCAGGCTTCAAACCTTAGCGCCCGTTTGATGTTTGCTGTACGGATAAGGCGTCGGGAACTCGTGACGTGCACTGCACTGTAGAAGTAAATAGAAATCACACATTGCATAGTTTTCCACACAGTGCGGGTTGAGTGTTAATTGCGATGTTAGCTTGGTCTGTTGTCTATGGCTTTCCTTTGACCACAATACACAGGTCGTTTAGTCACGCGGCGCTGCGGGAAGGGAAGTGGCAGTGGCCTCAGGCCTGCATCCCCGGGGTTTCCCGTCTGCTTTCCGCCGTGCAAGGCCGTCTCGCATTCACTGTGAGCAGAAAGGGGCACGGCTGACAATGCTTCCTCTAGGTGAAGTTTCAGGTGAAGCTACTTGGATTCTCAAACTCCTCCCCCAAAAACACTTGAAGAAAAAAAAAAAAGGCCACTGTACTTAAAAGTAGCATCCTCTGATGTTAATGGGCTGCAGAGCCCAGCCTTCCCCTGACTAGTATTTCAGTCTCCACCAGGCGAAGGAGGTTGCCTGGGCGCGCGACAGGCACGGGCACCCCAGGCCGGGATGCTGGCTCCTCTCGGAGCCGCGGGGGAGCCTGGCATGCCGGGGGCGGTAGGGGGCGCAGGGCTGGCGCGCACCAATCACAGCGCGTTCCCGCCCTATAAATAGGGGGCACCCGGGCGTCTGGCGTCTTTCTGCGTTTTTGAGCTCGGTAGTGAGTTACTTTCTCTCCTGCTGCCAGCATGTCCGAGGCCTCGCCGCCAGCTCCAGCTGCCTCCAGTGCTCCTGAGAAACCTGCCGCCGGGAAGAAGACAAAGAAGCCGGCCAAAGCTGCGGCGGCCGGTCGGAAGAAGGTCGCGGGTCCCTCCGTGTCCGAGCTGCTTGTGCAGGCGGTGTCCTCCTCCAAGGAGCGCAGCGGCGTGTCGCTGGCCGCGCTTAAGAAGGCCCTGGCGGCCGCCGGCTACGACGTGGACAAGAACAACAGCCGCATCAAGCTGGGCCTCAAGACCCTGGTGAGCAAGGGCACCCTGGTGCAGACCAAGGGCACCGGCGCCTCCGGCTCCTTCAAGCTCAACAAGAAGGCGGCCTCCGGGGAGGCCAAGCCCAGCACCGCAAAGGTTTCTGCGAAACCTAAGGCCACGGGCGCTAAGAAACCCAAGAAGGCCACTGCAGCTGCCGCTAAAAGAGCCGCCAAGAGTCCAAAAAAGGTTAAAAAAGCCGCGGCGACAAAGAAGCCCTCCAAGAGCCCTAAGAAGCCTAAGGCTGTGAAGCCTAAGAAGGTGGGCAAGAGCCCGGCCAAAGCTAAGGCTGTGAAGCCCAAAGCGGCGAAGGCGACCAAGCCAAAGACCGCTGTGAAGCCCAAGAAGGTGGCACCCAAGAAAAAGTGAAACGCGTGGGGGACGTATTTTAACAACCCAACGGCTCTTTTAAGAGCCACCAACGTTTTCAGAAAAGAGCTTTGGTATCACTCACTTGCTGCAAGGGGTGTGTTCTCACGCCGTTTTGCCCTCCATCAGTCAGGCCAGCACGTCCACGTAGGTTTCTCCCTATGGGCACTGCACCTAGTACGATCCTATTCGACAAAAAGTTCGAGGATTCCATATTGGTTCCAGTGGAGCCAGCCTTTGAAGGCTCTGGGGAACCCCAACTTAGTCATCGGAAGGTAAGTACATGTATCTGTAATAGGGTGGTAACTACCTGTATGGGATCGGACATTCTGCTCAGTCTGCAGGATTTCCCTGGCGGTCTCAGGTCAAAGCGGGAGCAATATTCTGAAGCAGTCTCCTGAAATGGGGTGGCCCTGAGAAGTGCTTTTAGGGCAATCTGACTGATATGAATGGCACACAGGTTGCTGTCCACCAGGTGGGTCTCCCACGCCTGCATCGTCATTGTCGACTGCAATGTGCTTCCTGCGTGAAGCCTGACCCTGCGTGTATTTGCTGGCTGCACCTTAGTTTCCGGCCATGGATAGGACAAAAGAACTTGGATGCAATGGGGTTTTAGAGCTAAAGTGCAAAAAGCCCTACCTGGTTTCTGTTAATAGAAACAACTGTCCTGATTAATATTTGAAATTTCCAATCGACCTCACTAGATCATAAATCGCTTGCAGGGTTTTCAGCCCTGGTGGCACTACATCACGTTAAATAGCTGGGGGACACTTGAGCAAAATTGCCCCTTTAAACTTTAGATACTTGAATTCTGGGATTCAGTTGAGTAACACCTTTTTTTCACATTCAAGAAACTAATATGAGGTACTTCTGGACACATTAACACAGCTCAGCTAGTTGTAAAACTTTTTACACATGCGCATTTAAATTGTTTAGCAGTTAGTTGCTCTATTGTTCCAATGGCCTTTTTCCCCACTTTTTTTGCATGGCTCCTTCCATCCCCCGCATCAGACATACAGTCACTTCACATCCCTACCCTCACATGCGCCTTCGAATTCAGTCTTTTACATACCCACCAGACACATGATTGTTTTGTTTTTCGATTAGGGTTCTTAATTTACAAAATGGTGATATTACATACACTTTGCTGCCTGTTGCATTTTCACTTAACCTTGTGAAAGTCCTTTCAAGTCAAATGTCCTTCACGTGTAGTAGCATGATGTATTCACCCATCTCATTGATAAGCACTGATGTTTCCATTTACCACTGGCGACTATGGTACAATAAACTATTAATAGAATTCCAGTGCTGAAATTGCTAGATTAGAGTGTATTTTAAATTTCAATTGCTGCTGACAGCCTGAAAAGAGCTCTCCCTAAGGGAGAATCCCACTTTACGTTTTCCCAGATGGATGGCCCATTGTACTAACACCATTTATTAGATTACCCACCTGTTTCTTCCACTAAACTGAAATATACCATCTTTGTTATATATTAAATTCTTACACATTCAGAACTTTCTATATTCTTTTCTGTTGATCTGTTGACAAAAAACATCCAGCCTAAGAGAAAATTTGAGTTTATTTGAGCCAAACTGTTAACAATTGACAGGAAGCAAAATCTCAATGAATTGAGAAAATGCTCCAAAGAAGGGCAGTTTTACACCTTATTTTATACATAAAATCAAAGGAGGCAGGTTCCATGAAATCTATTGGTGATAGATTAAGGGGGTGGGAGAAAGCAAAGCGGGGAAATCTATAGGATTGGATAAAAGTAAATGGGAGAGAAAGATATTTCGTTTACATAGGTGGGTGTAGGATAGCTAACAGTTCGCTTTTTATAGCACGTAGAGATGGTAATCGGGAAACAAGCATAATAATGAGGAATTTTGCAGTTTTCAGCTCTGGTTCAAAAAAGGATTAAAGATGTTATCTTAGGTACAGAAACACAACAGGCCCACTGAAAAGGCACAGAGTAACTTAATGAGGAAGCTGAAGATGTGACTTCCCACTATGGCCCACTTAGTTAAAACTTTTTTCGTGTGTGTGTGTGTGTGTGTGTGTGTGTTTTCATACCATCTTAGTTTTAGTCTTCTAAGCTTGTCAGGTTTAACCTGTGGCCCCTTTTCTGTCCACAGATATCACCAAATAAATCCTGTACCTTTCTTCATTCTATTCCTTATTAATTTAAATGCTTGTTTCTATCGTAAATGGAAGAGTCTTCTCGTTTCAGTTTTCAGGTCTTACTGCTCAGAAAGAAGAAATGTATTGATATATTGTATCCAGCGAACTTATCCATTTCTACAATTAATTTTATTTTCTTTACTCATTAGAGCCCCTTGAGTTCTTCCTAGTCATCAGCAAACAAATAATTTTATTTTTTGTTTTCCTTAATGTGAATACCAAGCATTTATTTTATTTTTGTGTCCATTTGCTAAGAATTCTCAATGTGAAGTTGAATAACGTTAGCAGGCATCCTCTTTAGTTCTTGGTTTTCACTAATATGGTATTAAGTGTTTGTCCTTCTGGGTATTTGCTGTTAATATTTGGTATCTTACTGTGTTTAAATAGTTACATTTATTCCTGTTTTACTTTTTTTTTATGGCTTAAACAACACACATTTATTTCTCACAGTTCCGGAGGCCAGAAATCTGAATTCAGGGTGCCAGTATGGTGGGTTCTTGGTGACGGTCCCCTTCCTGGTTATGTCCTCACATGGCCTTTCCCTGGTGTGTTCACGAGGGAGAGAGAGAGAGGGCGGGAGAAAGGGAGAGAAAGCTCTATTTTACTTTTATTTTAAAATTTGAATGGCTGCTAAATTTCTTTATGTATTGGTATAATCCTATGGTGCTTCTGTTTTTTCTTTGACAAGTTTTGGGGAGGAAAGAGTTGAATTGAGGTGGAGCTATAAATTTGGGAGTCAGTGGTGTATGGATGGTATTGAAAGCCATGAGACTGGGTGAGGTCACCAAGGAGGGGACTGAGGTAAAGAGTAGAACTCTATTACATGGTTCTTGTGCTGCATTCGCTACTAGTTCAGAAGCACACGTCCAGAATTTAGCAGTGGCGTGACGGGACTGAGCCGGGCGGAACAGGAGGCAGAAAAGTGACCGCGATACCGGGAAAGACGATGTATCAGGAGAGCAGCAGTGAACTTGGAGAGAAAGCGATGGTGTAAGAGATGATTACGAGGTAGAAACAACTGCTTAGATGTGGGGATGAGAGTGGTAGCACAGCCAAGGACGATAGCAGAGTTTTTAACTGGAGCGAGCAGTTCCCTTCACGAAGAGGGGACACTGAAACAAGCTGCCACGGAGAGCAGGGTGGGTGTCAGGTCATGTTTCACAGTGACTTCCTAGAGAAAAGAGTCAAGGGCCTGGGGCGTGTCAGCCCAGGTGCAGTTGGGAATCAGAAACCACACTGAAATTTAGCATAAAGAATTTGAAGTGAATGTTTGTTAATCACCAGAGGACAGAAGAGGCAAAAGAGAGAGAAATGTCACAGAGACAGTCACAATGGGAAGCAGCCACTGTCTCTAGGGATGAGAGAACAAAGAGAAGATTCTTTGAGATCCTCAGAACCAGGACCCCAACCTGTGGGGGGCCGATGCTGGCCCACTGGTGTTGGTGTCTGTCGAGGCTCCATCAGGCTGACGTCAGGCACGTGGGAGACCTGGAATTGTTACCAGGTGCTGTTCGCTTAGACGAAACTGTGGCTGCCAAGTGAAGAAGACTGTGGTGATGTCAGCACAGGTGGGAGTAAACAGGTAGCACGTGGGGGCCTTCTCGCCCTGCCAGTCCCCAGAGCCTCCTGCTGGCAGAGCCTGGGGTGGGGGCTGCTGGCCAAGCAGAAACGTGGTTGCTGTCACAGCTCCAGCACTGTCCTACAGAGGACAGAAGAGGCTGGCGGGTCATCAGCTCACAGGGTGGTGTCACATGCCACCGCTGCTGGTCCAGGCTGCGACACCAGTTCCTGTTCCCTTTACCCCTGTCTGTATTTTGTAGATTGAGCCTTCTTTATTCTGTTCAGTAAACCTCTCAGTTTATGTTTTTCCTGTTGGGATTGTAATTTGGCACTCTTCCAATTCGCAGGACTCAAGAGTACGAGATGGAAGCTGGCATTCTACTCATTGCTTTTATGGTCCCCGTGAAGGCCAGAGTGACATCGCAGCTGAAATGGGGGCTGGCGGGGCTGGGAGGGGCACCAGGCTTTGAGAAGAGAATGTCTGAAACAGCTGCCATAGGGAATGCAGTTTCCACAGGGTGGAGACTGTGCGTTTTCATGACTGGATGCCTGTATCGCATAGTGGGTGCTTTATGAGTATTTGTTGAATGAGTCAAGTGGAAATGCAGCAAATCTGAGAACCTTGGTGACACTGGTGGCCTGTGACAGTGGACCCAGATGAGGTCGCAGGCCACGGGTTTACCCAGTGAAACCCACAGCTAACAGTAAACATGGTTAGGCATTGCATCAGAGTCTGGAGATGCAGGTATGGGCTTTAAGTGTTTCCATGGCTTTGGTTGTCACATAGCTCATAGTGAAAGGTCAAGAATGTCAGCCATGTCCTGGGGACCTGCCTGTCAAACAAGTTCCAGGAAAGATGTTTAAAGGGCACTTTGCTGGAGATAATGGAAAAATGTGGTTTGTTTAGCATTAAGCAATGAAAGGTTAAATAATAACAGTCATAGGTGTTTAGTTTCAGTCTTTTGCTTTAAAATAACCAGTATCTTTGTGCATGTGGTTCCAGTACCGGTCTTGGCAATGTCCTAAAATAGAATTCTCTTGAAATTTCTTATTGAAGTAAGGAATTGTGGCGTAAGCAGTCCCAAAGCTGGGAACCCTTATGCCTCCTTAGAGAGATCGCTCCTGGCTTTGGAGCTGGGGTGGAGTGTTGGCCTCCTTGGGATCTCGGGGTTCCTTCCTCCCCTCCTGACACTGAGGACCAGGGAAGCTGGCCAATTTATTCCTCAAGGAGCCATCTATGTTCTTCTGAAACGTTCAAACTTAAACGCGCGGTGAAGACGCAAGTAAGAATATGGCTGCACAGCCTCCAGTGGCC